GCGTGGGTATGGGGTGTGCCAGTGTTACAGGTAGTACTGAATATAGCTGTGGATTGGGTCGAGGAAGCATGGGTATGGGGTGTGCCAGTGTTACAGGTGGTACTGAATATAGCTATGAATTGGGTCGAGTAAACGCAGGTGTGGGGTGTGCTACTGTTACAGGTGGTACTGAATATAGCTGTGAATTGGGTCGAGGACGCGTGGGTATGGGGTGTGGCAGTGTTCCAGGTAGTACTGAATATAGCCGTGGATTGGATCGAGGAAGCGTGGGTGTGGGGTGTGCCATTGTTACAGGTAGCGTCATCTACAGATACTTAATCTCTGAACCTTTGTTTAGCCTGGCTTAGTTGAACCTTTGCTTAGCCTAGCTTAATTAAAGCTTTGTTTAGCCTAGCTTAATCAAACCTTTGCTTAGCCTAGCTTAATTAAAGCTTTGTTTAGCCTAGCTTAATCAAACCTTTGTTTAGCCTAGCTTAGTTAAACCATTGTTTAGCCTAGCTTAATTAAACCTTTGCTTAGCCTAGCTTAGTTAAACCTTTGTTTAGCCTAGCCTAGCTAAACCTTTGTTTAGCCTAGCCTAGTTAAACCTTTGGACAGCCTAGCTTATTCACATCATTTCACCTCGAAGTGACAAGTGACGTGTGAAGTGTTTTACACGAGAGCATGCCCATCACACCTCACCACAGGTGCAGATGATATACGCGTACATACATCGTAGTCCCGAGCACTCCGTTGTATCAAGCATCCAACCTTAAAATCATAAACCCTGATTCGATAAACCCTATTACCATAAACTCAACCCTAAAACCATAAACAATAAACTCTAACCCCTAAAACCATAAACCCTACATCCATGGAGTGTACGTGAGAGTGCGGCGCAACGGTGCGTGGACATACATGTAATGCGCTTCTAAATTGGGTGTCCTGGTCTCTGGGCAGTTGCTTCTTCCTCATGACGCGGATGATCGCCTGTAGATTGGCATTGCGCTGTTTGTTGATCTCGCTCTGCATCTCCAGCCGATGACTATTTAACAATGGACAGACGGGCGACGATCAGATACAGAGGCGACCATATATGTTACACATACGACAGCGAACGTCATTTGTATAGTGCAGTTGTTGTGTTCATGGAGAGAGTAGTCAGAGAACAGCCCAACAGATGTGACACGCCCGACAGTGAATGTAATCTGCCTAGTGCAGTTGTTGTGTCCATGGAGAGAGTAGTCAGAGAACAGCCCAACAGATATGACACGCACGACAGTGAATGTAATCTGCCTAGTACAGTTGTTGTGTTCATGGTGAGATTAGTCAGAGAACAGCCCAACAGACGTGACACGCACGACAAAACGTACATTCTGCCTAGTGCTGCTGTGATGACTCCCGATTCACTATGATAAGAATAAATGTACGCTTCAGAGGAAAGAGTGTTCTGTTTGAAAGTGCATAACTGTCTTAAGCAAAAAAATAATACGTACATAACTAACTTCTTTAGTATAGAACTGACTTCTTTAGTACAGAACTGTCTTCTTGGGATGTGAAGGGCATATATAATCATATACGCACCCACAGCACGAGACACATAAGCATATACCAGGGGACGACACCCTCGTGTGGTAGTGGCCGAGATAGTAGTGTACTGTTCCGGAGTAGCCCGTCTTGTGGTAGTCATATAGACACGTGTATAACAAACTGTGTGCACAGGCATACTAATCTGCCCTGACAAGGCTCACGCCGTTTTAACTACATTGAGCGTGTGACGCATGTGGGTAGGTCTGAGTGGGCTGTGAGTGAGAGAAGGTAACCGGAGTATGGAGAGGCACTCGCCAGGGGTACTAGTTTGCTACGAACAAACACATACCGTATGGCAGTATAGTAGTAATTAACTACACACAAACACATTCCGTATGCCAGTATAGTAGTAATTAACTATACACAAACACATACCGTATACCAGTATAGTAGTAATTGACTACACACAAACACATACCGTATCGACAGGAGACTATTTGAATACGCACAAGCACGTATAGAATGCCAATGTAGTAGTAGCTATTTACACACCAACACATGTTGTAGGGCATTTGCAGTAGCAGAATATCTGCCATTGATATATCACTATGTAATCCCCAAGGTGCGCTTGTATGTGCACACATTTCATAGCTATTTCATCACTAACACAGACATAGCACCATGTTCTCATGACACCCGGATGTCCCTATCACACACACACACACACACACACACACCCGCCCACCTATGATTCTGTACCCCTCTGGTGAGCTCGGCCTCCTTCTGCTGCACTAGCATCTGTCGCTCTAGCGCGTGTATCTTGTTGAGGTTGTCCCAGCAGATCTTCTTCTCGCCCACATTCAGCCAACTCATGTTGGCCGCGTGCAGTTGTTTGGTGCCGTTGTACTCTAATTGGTATTGGGTTTCGAGCAGCTGTAACTCCGACTCTAACAGCTCCTGCAGTGGACAGAGAGTGGTAGGTATGTGGTATGTGTAAGCCAAAGAACAGAACGGACAGTCACTCTAGTGCAATATACACATGCGTCTCGATAGCTAGACAAAGCTTCCCATCTCTTCATGTATAAGCCAATTCTGCAGTCGATATCGATTTATCATTCTCCGGGATATACGTTAACCGCAAAAACTTACAGCGTTAACTGTTGTTTACACCCCAGCTATACTCATTGACCTTATTTACGATAGAACAAGCCAATGCACCAACAGCATCTACCTTATGCTGTCTGTACCACCCCAACTATACTTCTAAGCTTATACGTGATCAATAACTTTAATACGTTAACAAGGCTCACTTCACACTGTCTGTTCCCCCCAACTATACTTTTAAGCTTATATGTGATCAATAACTTTGATACGTTAACAAGGCTCACTTCACACCGTCTGTTCCCCCCAACTATACTTTTAAGCTTATGTGACCAATAACCTTAATACGTTAACAAAGCCCACTTCACACTGTCTGTTCCAACCCATTTATGCTCTACGCTGGTGTACTCCATATACGTAGTTCATATCCGTACGCCAGGCAATTGGATGGTGAAAGCAATACATATAAGCTAAGTTATTAACTCGTAAACACAAACAATAGTGGGAAAATTGATAGAAGGGGATGTGATTCCCGGGAACTACAGAAGGTCAGATGACACGCTCATCTCTGCATGTGCATGTAGCGGTCACACACGTACACCGTTAACATGGAATACGTCTGCGTGTGGCGTAACCATAATGGAAGATTGTCACACAAGCTGGAGAATACAGCAGGTGATACTGCTAGAGCCATAAGGGGAGATTGTCATATACGCTGAGGGACACGGGAGATACAACAGGTAACACTGCTGCTACCACAATGGGATATTGTCATATTAGCCAGAGAATCTAAAAATATCATCAGGTGATACTGCTAGATAAGCTGAAGGACACAGAAGATACAACCGGTAACACTGCTGCTACCACAATGGGATATTGTCATATTAGACAACTGCTAGAGCCATAAGGGGAGATTGTCATATAAGCTGAGAGACACAACAGAAGATACAACAGCTAACACTGCTGCTACCACAGTGGGATATTGTCATATTAGCCAGAGAATTTAAAAAACATTAACAGATGATACTGCTAGAGCCATAAAGGGATATTGTCATATAAGCTGAGGGACACAGGAGATACAACAGGTATCACTGCTGCTACCACAATGGGATATTGTCATATTAGCCAGAGAATCTAAAAACAATAACAGG